AGAAAAAAAAAAAAAAAAAAAAAAAGCTGGGGGGTGGGGGAGGAGTTATTGAGCAAAAAAGGGCACCTGCCCCTTTAAGGATGGCCATTTTGAACTTTGTTGTTCTCCACATTACACCTCCGACTGCCTCGTGGCACACCAGTGTGCCTCGGAACACACTTTAAGAAACACTGGTGTAATCGAATAGTTGTGTAACCGCATGAAATGTTGGAGGTTACATGAGTATTCTATAGTCCCGGGGGTGGGGCTGGCAGTCAGTACACTCCCGGAGCCCCTGTCCACCCTGCACTGTTGCCTCTCTATCACAGACAACAGCACATGGCGGCAGGCAGAACCAGTCCACCAGGGGAGCCAGTTTAAAAAAGCCTGTCTGTGGGGAGTTTGGACCCTCCACGGACAGGGGCTGCTGCCACAAAGCAGCCTCTGTCTGCAGCAGGTCCAGGCTTGCTGCAGACAGAGGTTGCTCCATGGGATGTGGAGTAGGGATGTAGGCAACTAATCGACTATCCGATAAGCAAAAGCTTCCCTCCCCCCTTGCTGCCTCTATCAGAAAGAGGCAGCAAGGGGAGAGAGGAGGAGGTTCTGTGGGAGCCACCTTAAAAGCCAGTTCCCTCCCTGCTCCAGCTCTGTGGGAGCGGAGAGGGATGCAGCGGTGGTGTTCCACCCTTGAAATGCACAAGACCACTGGCCCCAGGCTCTATGCAGTGTTTCAATCTTTGAAATGTACAAGGGCCCCAGCAGGAGCTCTTATACATTTCAAAGGTGGAAAGCTGCACTGCACTTCCGCCTTTGAAACGTAGCAAACGCCGGGCAGCTCTTCCTACATTTCAAAGAGGAAGTGCTCTTATCGACTAATCCAATAGGCAATGGAAATCTATCAGCTATTCGATTAGTTGATTAATCTCATTTTAAACATTCCTAATGCAGAGCAGCCTCTGTCCATGGGGAGCTCCGGCCTGCTGCAGAAAGAGGCTGTTTTGCAGCAGCCTCCCCACCCCACGCTGCTGCCTCTACCTGATAGAGGCAGCAGCATGGAGGCAGGCAGCATCATGGGCTGGTGCTGGCATGAGGGACAGCTTTTAAGCCAGCTCCCCCCAGCATCGACTCCTGACTGCTCCCTCTCCAGGAGGCAGCAAGGGGGGGGGGGGCCAGGCAGGTCTGCACAGCCAGCATGCAAGGAGAGCCTGCTTAAAAGCCAGATACCCATGGGTACTGGGTCCAGCCAACCCCCTGGCCCACAAGGCAGCAGCGTGGAGGGGAGGAGCAGGTGGATGCGCTGCTCATGGGGAGCCTGCTTAAAGCCAGCTCTTTACTGGCACCAGCTCCCACTCCCCGCCACTTGCTGCCTCTAATCCAGAGGCAGTGGGGGAAGAGGGGATGCATGTATTCAACAAGATTAACCAATAAGCCTGGGCTTATCGGTTAATCGTGTAGTCATCTTTACGATGATATCCCTAGTCTACACTCAAGTCACTTTTCTTCTCAAGACTAAATATGCCTAGGTTTTTATTTAAATCTTTCCTCATAGGTCAGATGTTCTCAAGCTCTTTGTAACTATACTGTTCTGCCCCAGGAGAGAGGGGAAAGGTCACACATCTCTAGCTATAATCCCAATGCAGGTGAATGGCAGAGACAGACCAACAGATGAGAATGACGAAGACACTGTGCATCTAAGGCCACCCCATACACACACCCGGGTGAAGGAGATGGCCACATCTGCTTGTATTTGGCAGGGAGATGGGTCTTTGAGCTTCAGTGAAAGAGGGTGAAATGGAGGAAGTCACTGAGCTCCTGCCTCTGTTTCCTGCCTAACAGCGTTTCCCTATTTGGATATTTCCTTGGTTACACCAACTACAGCTCAGTTTAACCCCTGCCTACATCAGTGGCTGCGTATTTGCAGGGTTTGTCTGTTTAATTCTGATGGAAATGCCATGAAAGGGGTTACTGGAGTGCAGGGAGCTGGTACAAGACCTCCAAGATTCCTCTGCCACAGTTCATTGGTGGGATGACTGGATCCTGCTCCGTAGCACTCATCTGAGCCATGAAAATGACTGTTACTTCCATTTCCCCCACTGGCCTCCTGGTCATCTCCATTGCCCTCAATGCCTGGAGATCCCAATTTGTCCTCCCTTTCAGATTCATGCAGCCAGTTGCTGTCCATCCACAGGACAATGGCTCTGAATGAAGGACCTTAGTCAGACCCAAGAACAGAAAGCCTTTAGAGCCAACAAGCAGCAGCTAAACCGTGCTGCCCATACATGAGCAAATGACCTTGGCACCTCCTTATGAAAAGGAGAGGAGTTTCCAAGCAGAACTGAAGCGCATTTCCATCCAGGCTAGGCCCCAGCAAGTGGGCCCAGATGTACAGTAACAAGTTTATGAAAGCAATTAGCTTTTAACGTTGACAATCCTTAGGGATTTAGGTGGAAGTCCTTAATTCTATTGCACTTCTAAACTGCAGTTTGCCCTCTTTAACATCTTTCAGCTATTTGGGGAGAGAGACCTACCAAAGCCTTTAATTCTGGGCAAGCAAGAAATTTTTTTTTCCTCAAGTGGAGATGAACCAAAAGGCTGAGCTTTGAGCCACAACACAAACTGAGCTGCTGGAGCCCGCTCTGTACTGATGAGATAGGAAGACCTATACATTAAAATGATCTAGGCAGCTATAACCAGACGACTTACTGTCTGAGCCCCTCCTTGGCTTGTGCTTGGGAGCAGAACTAGGCAGTCCCAGTCCTTGTTGCCTAGCTTGTGTGCAGTCTAGGGTAGCTACATGGTGTTGGTCCCATGGAACCAAATGTCTCTCAGGGTATGTCTACACTACCACCCTAGTTCGAACTAGGGTGGTAGTGTAGACATACCCTGAGAGACATTTGGTTCCATGGGACCAACACCATGTAGCTACCCTAGACTGCACACAAGCTAGGCAACAAGGACTGGGACTGCCTAGTTCTGCTCCCAAGCACAAGCCAAGGAGGGGCTCAGACAGTAAGTCGTCTGGTTATAGCTGCCTAGATCATTTTAATGTATAGGTCTTCCTATCTCATCAGTACAGAGCGGGCTCCAGCAGCTCAGTTTGTGTTGTGGCTCAAAGCTCAGCCTTTTGGTTCATCTCCACTTGAGGAAAAAAAAATTTCTTGCTTGCCCAGAATTAAAGGCTTTGGTAGGTCTCTCTCCCCAAATAGCTGAAAGATGTTAAAGAGGGCAAACTGCAGTTTAGACTGAACGAATGATGTGCCCAGACTGAACAACGTAAGATGGACTTCTGAAGTTAAGAACTATCATATCTATACATCAGACATCTAATGAGAGATACAAGACAATACTAGTATAGGCACCCTGGAGCTTTTGCATATTTTAAAATTAGGAGTATCTCCCTAACCCTCTGGCCATTGTTTTTTTAAGCCACTTTCCCGAACTGATGAAACTGCATATAACCAACCCTGCACCATTCAGCTACAAGACCTTCTAGCCAATGGCTTTGTTTTCAAGTTTGTTACTTTTTTTTAAATGTAATATTTACTTAAGACACATATCAGCCTCCTAAATTAAAACAACAAATCTTTGCAGAATGCAAAAAAGGAATGCAATCCTTAATGCAGAGGAAGCTATATGCTCTCGTATGGGACCTCAAAAACAAAAAACAGAAGGAATGGCAAGATTCTTACCTGTAGGTCAAAGAACTTGCTGTACCGTCGATAAATGACTTCTGTGGAACCATTGGACCAAGTGACTTTGATAATATACACCTGTGGGGAGTACAGAGCAGGAGATTAGAGAACAGTGTGACATCAGTAGAACAATCTACACCATTCCTACAATATTGGAAGTTAAGACATCTTCCAGAGTCCCTCACAACACAGTAAAGTGTCTCTATTAACATAAGACTTAAGCACACCCTTTAATCCCATGGAAGACAAAAGTTAAGCATGCGCTTCAAGTCCTTTCCTGCAATAGAGCTTAATTAATATTTTACCCAAAAGATACCATGGAGAACAAAATGTTCAATTCATAATTGTGACCCAGAGGATCTACTAGCTGCACACATGGGCATTAGTCACTGAAAATCATATAAATGTCAAACACAAAACACGAGACAGATTAACCGTTAGTAGCTACACCATCACCCCAAGCATAATCAAAAAGCCTGCAGAGACCTGAACTGTCGACCCTTAGGATACATCTGTACCGGCTTCCCTAGGCTTTAGAGCTTGAGCTCCAGCTCCAGACATCTTCAAAGTGCTGTTTACAACAGGGATGTAAAAGGTTAACCAGTAAGTGTTACCCTGAACAGGTAATGCTCACCAGTTCCAGTTAACTGGTAACCACAGAGGGTCGGAGCAGCTCCCCCGTCTGCCATGGGCAGAGGACTGCTCCTACCCTGCAGTCCGCCCAGTCGTAGACCATGGGGAACCTGGGCCTGCCACAGACAGAGCTGCTCCGGCAGGGGCTCAGAGTTGGGAGCCCACAGCAGCCCTAGCCTGGAGGTTGGAGCAGCCACCTCCCCCAGAGCCTGCTTAGTCAGTTAAACGTTAGGTAAATCAAACATTTAACTGATTAACCAGGATTTTACATCCCTGGTTTACATGGCTATTTTCCTTACACTAGCACAAGTCTCCTGATCTGTGCTGGGGAGCTTGCTCCTGTGGGCTCCAAAATGCTATGTAAAATATTCATAGTGCACAAGATGACAGAACACAGAGTTGTGTGACCTGTTGAGTTCTCATGATCCCAGCAAGTTCAGAGATCGCTCTGCATTTTCTCGAATGACTCTGAATGCCTTAACGTTTGCCTCACTTTTAAAATGCTTTAGGTCAATTCTCTTTCTGTTCTATAAAGCGATCTGTAATTAATTCAAAGCAAAGATGCAAATCAAAGATGACCTTTAGACTTCTGAAGAAGTGCCAGCATAGCTCTTGGTATTACAGTGTTTGGGATGCTGTGGCCAAAAGCAAGTTCACCCTTCCCTTCCCACCCATTTCAACATATGTTCACATTATGCTGCCAGAAATTCAAGAACCCACCCAACAAAAGATGACGAAAACTTTGGAAGGCCAAAGTTAACAGGAGCGACAAAACTTTAGAAGATGCTTTGGCAAGAACATGGCTTAAGTATAACTCAATTAAAATATATTCCATTACATTTTTAAATGTTTCATCACAGAGACAGCCACCCATTTCACCAAAATGCAATTTGACTAGACCATGGAGAGCAAGGGGAAGAGAAACACTAACTATCTGGTCCATCAGATATGTATGGGTGTCAGATACCATGGTACCAATAAGGGAATAAAATTAAACCAGCATCTCAGACTGAATTGTCAATGTAAAACTAACCAAAGCCAAGAGATCAAAAAGGGCTCTGTGGGGAGCTGACTATTTTAGGATGATTTCTTAGAATCAAGATTAAAGAAAAAAAAAAAAGACAAAAAACCTTCTTCCTTTTCTCAGGATATGGGACTGCACTCCTCAGTATCTTCAATACAGCACGTTAAGAAAAAGCACAAATAATCATCCCAAAATTTAACCTATTTCTCCTTCCTACATTGTAATGAACTAGTTAGTGTGTCATGTGCACCACTGCCCTTTACTGGAAGGACTCAGAACTGCAAATAGTGCCTAAACTTGGGCTACACTAGCCGTGGCTCTCAACCTTTCCAGACAATTGCACATCTTTTGGAAGTCCAATTTGTAGCCCCAAAATTTCACCTAACTTTAAAAACTACTTCCTTACAAAAATCAAACAAAAATAATTTTAAAAGTGTCATGGCACACTATTACTGAAAAATTGCTCACTTTTTTGTTTTTTGCACGTAACTATAAACTCAATTAGAATATAAATAGTCCATTAACTTGTGTTTCAGTGTATAGTTAAGTATATAGATCAGTATAGGCAAGTCATTGTCAGTACAATATTTTAGTCTGCACTTACTTCCCTAATGTGTTTTATGTCGCTAGCCTGTTGTAAAAATAGGCAAATATCTATGAGTTAATGTACTCCAGGATGACTTCTGCATACCCCTAGTTGAGAACCATTGGAGTGACCAAGTGTCACTTCTGCTGATACCATGAAGTGTCGAGTGGCTCTAGAATGCAGCATCTTTAAAGCCCTGATGGACACAGATTATAAACCTATGTTGACCAAAGTCTAGTCCTTCCTGCGGGTCTCTCCCCACATCCAAGGAAGTGTGCTTTTCCCCATGCAATTCCCTGTTCTAGCCTATCAGCCTGTACCTGGCAGTGCCAGACAAAGCTAACATAATCCAAACACAATATGTATCTCTCTGGCCAATAAAGCGTTAAGCCTCCTACACAGCGCTTCCAAGCTGCTTCTAGCTTCCCACCAGGGTCTGCAAGGCTGCCAGTGTGACATCATTTAGGTTGGAGGCTTTGCTGATATCCCAGCTCACATCCATTCCATAGCATTTCGCAGCATTATATCACTGCTGGCTGCCTGCCTGGAGACAGCCTGCCAGTGGGGCAGGAGGAAAAGCCAATTTTTCCTCCATTGTTTATTCCTATCCTGCCTTTATTTAGGAGTCCGTTTATTATACTGAGATTTAATCAGCTTTTGTAAAGCTATTTACTAGAGCCCAAATGAATTTAAGACTCAGAGGGATGCTGAGGGGTTTGAGTGGGTGAGGGTGTTGAAGGCTTTGCAATTAAGAGGATAGGAATGTTTTCCCCTACTCCCCACCTTATTCATTTCTTTTATATGCTAGTTATTCTTACTGGAACACCTGGATAATGGAAGTTTCATTTATGTATATACATATACACACATTTAACAGTAGGACAGTCCTACATGGCAACCCACTTCAACCAATAACATGCAGAGAAAGAAATATCTGTGGAAAATGCTGCTTCATAAGCTTCTCAGCAGGGAGGTGGCTTTACAGGTCTTCCCTTGTGACTACTACCCCCTCCATGCCAAGACAAGAAAACAAGACCAGACAGTAGACATCCATCCTTACCGTAGTGCAGCTATCAAAGACCAGATTTTTAAAAGATATCACCTCGTTGGATATACAAACGCATCTCAGCAGGTGGAGTTCAGCACCTCAATTGAAATGAATGTCAGTTCAGTGTCTACCTGCCTTAAGCACTTTTGAACAGTTCCATTAAGTGCCTAAATACCTTTGAAAAAAATCTTACCCTGAACCCCACTGTTTAGGGCTAAATGGTGGTTGTGTGGCATAGGGATGTAATAGTCTAGGCAATTAACTAATAAGCAAAAGCTTATCAGTTAATGCTATAGACGACACACATTTCCCCCCACCCCTTGCCAGTAAATTGTTTAGCAGGCTAGCCAGCAGCCCAGCTCAGTCCCAGCTTGCACTGGATCTGGAAACTACACCCGCTGTGGCTCTGAATTTAAAGTGTATTAGGAGCCAGGCAGACAGGCAGCCCAGCTCAGTTCCAGCTTGTGCGGGTCCAGGAGCTCAGATCCCTCCCCCCCCCCTGGACAGGGGCTGCCTGGGGACTATAGAATAGTCGACTAACCGATAAGAATTCATGAGGTTAATCGACTATTAAATTAACCATTATTTCATATCCCTAGTGTGGCACCTCTCTCCTCGCAGTGCTCATCATCCAGCTGGAAGAGATTTTTTTTGTAACGGGAGGTGTCTAGTGCTGCAGAGGGGAAGCAAGTTCTAGGTCCACAGAATTCACCAGCCCAGCTTCCACAAGGAGAAGCCTGAGTGGATTCAATCTCAGGTACAGTGAAGTCATCCTAGGACTAGTCCCAACAGCTCCATGCAAGGAACAGAGGAGGGAAATGAACAGGGCTCGCCAGCCGCGCTGTCCAGCGATCTGCGCATGCGCAGATCACCGGAACCCGGCTCTTCCGGGTTACAATCTACTCGCCCCAGGTGAGTAGACTGTATTATTTGTCAAGCCCTGGAAATGGACAACACAATTCAATAGGAAATGTTCTGCAAGGACAGCCGTGCCCTGGCTTGGTGGTGTACGGAAATGGACAGAATTATTTCATAGGTCTTCTTCAGACTGAACGTCTATGATTCTATGAAAAGAGTATATTGAAACTAGCACCATACTTATTTCCAATGGAAACAGAGGCTTCTCAAGGTGTAGTCTTACTGGGACTGCAACCAGCTCTCCACTACCTGAAGTCTCCACCCCAGGGTGACAAGCACAGCTGGGCTAAGCAGCAGAGAAGTGGGGGAGAGGGGAAAATGAGGAGTCAGAGCTCAATTCCAACTTGCTCATTTTTTAGAGGGGTGGGGTTAAGCAAACAGCAAGGAAGCCAGAAGGGGGCTGTGACAACATCATATGCCATGGCCAACATCCAAGACTAATAGAGCCAGAGATCTAAATATTTAGAAGCCTTCCCAGGCCAACAGCAGGGTGTGCAGCGGACAGCGAAACTAGCTGATGCTGTGAAATCTGGGTCCTGAAAGTTCCTCTTTCTTAGGATATGTCTACACAACAGCATTATTTTGGAATAACCGACATTATTCCAAAATAACAAAGAGCATGTCTACACAGCAAGCCTTTATTTCAAAATAATGTCGAGCTGGAGGAGTTCTTACTCCGACTCCTGTAACCCTCATTTCACAAGCAGTAAGAGAAGTTGAAGGAAGAGTGTAGACAACACCAAACGCTGAAGTAAGCTAATTCAACTTCAGCTATGCAATTGATGTAGCTCAAGTTGCATAGCTTAAATTCTACTTTTGCCCTGCAGTGTAAGACATACCCTTAGCGCAAAAAAAAAAAAAAAAAAAAA